AGGTGGCATAGAAGGAAAGATGTGGAAATCCAGAGAATCCAGGAGCATGTGTGGAAGTCCAGAGAATCTAGGAGCATGTGTGCGTCTTTGCTTCTGTGTGTCCCTGGGCCCCCTCGACGTCGGGCGCAATCGGCCGCCCGGCCGAGGCGGGGCCTGGGGCTCCCCGGTGCCCCCTTCCTGCGGGGGCTGCCCTGCAGGCTTAGGCCTCGGCTTCGCTCGGCCGTGTGCATTTATCTCAGGAGGGGAAAAAACACACACAGACACAATCAATCGGCGATTCCCAGAAACTATGGGAAAATATGGGAAGTGGGGGGGAAGACAAAAATCTAGAACATATAGCAAAATATGAGGGATATTTTTATTTGTGTGTATTTATTTGTGTTTCCCAGTTCCCCTTTAAGATGTGGAAATCCAGAGAATCTATAGGCGCATGTGTGCGTGTTTGCTTTTGTGTGTCCCTGGGCCCCCTCGACGTCAGGCGCAAGCGGCCGCCCGGCCGGTTGGGACCTGGGGCTCCCCGTGCCCCCTTCTGTTTGGGGCTGCCCTGCATGCTTAGGCCTTGGCGTCGCTCGGCCGTGTGCAGTGATCTTCGGCGAGAAGCCAGGGCTCATTTCGACTCCTTCGATTCGATTCCATTCGATTTCGATGGCTTCCGATTCCGATTCGATTCGACTTGGGATTCCGATTTGGATTCCGATTTCCCACTGAGGCATTGCTACTCTGCCGATTTCTGCCGATTCGACTCCTCCCGACTTGGCTGCCGATTTCCGCCGATCCGTGTAATTTCGATCGCCGATTCGACTTATCGATTCGATTCTGGGCTCTCCGGAGAACCCATCGAGGACCATCCTGGACCATCGAGCAAACAAAAAAAACACGCACGACATCGAAACGTGCGCGGGGAGTGGGCGTCCGAGCGATGGCGAGAAGCTGGGCCTGTCCCTCTACGGGGGGGAATCTGCAAGCATAGTCATAAGAATAGTACGGGGAGGGTGTTTTGACTATTTTTGTTTCCCCATTCTGGAGTATGCTTAGGGTTGAGCCCGCCGCTTGTGCTACCAGCGGCGGGGCAAGCCTCTTCCCCGCCGCTAATTTCCCTTTAATGTTTCCCGATAGCTGTCTTTTAATTGTCTTTTAATTGTGTCATATTCCCTCTAACTGCCTTGCATTCCCGATAATTCTCTTGTATTTCCGATCATGGTATACACCATACAAGCGACAAGCCAGCCTTGTCCTGTTCCTCCTCCTCCTCCTGCTCCTCCTGCTCCTCCTCCTCCTCCTGCTCCTCCTGCTCCTCCTGCTGCTGCTCCTCCTCCTCCTCCTCCTCCTCGTCCCTCTCCTTTGTTGAGTTGGTCAGACTGCAATCCTTGGCATTGCTCGGGCGTGTGCGTTTTTTTCCTCTGCGAGGACCATCGAGGAGCATCCTGGACCACGTAGCAAAGCAACACGCGCGAAACCGACACATGCACGGGGAATGGACGTCCGAGCGATAGCAAGCCTCCTGCCCGCTCTGGGCGATAGCAAGCCTCCTGCCGCGAGGGCTGGGCACGGGAATTACCGTCCAGGCACTAGAAGGAAAAAATCCTCGGGAGGTCCCGGGAGGTGGGGCCCCGGGAGGTGGGGGCCTTCCCGCTAATTCGTCCCTGTGTTTTTACAGGGTTTCATTCCCGGGAAATTATCGGGAAGGGTCCCCGGGAGGTGGGGCCCCGGGAGGTGCCCGGGAGGTCCGTTCATTCTGGACGGTAATCCCCGAATCCCTGGACGGTAATCCCCAGCAATGAAAATCATGCGGGGCGAGGGGTTGGGGAGCTCGGGTTGCTCTCTTGCAGTTGCGCCTCGCCGAGAGCCTTCCAGAGCCTCCTCCTCCTCCTCCTCCTCCTCCTCCTCCTCCTCCTCCTCCTCCTCCTCCTCCCTCTCGGTGACGTGGTGACGGCCCTCCCTCCTCTCCTCACCCTCCTGCTGCCCCTCTCCCTCCCCCTCTTGCTGCTCCCCTCCTGCTGCTCCCCTCATTGTTCGGCTCCTTTTCCCCACTTGTTCCCTCCGTCGCTTCCTGGTCGTCGTCCCCTCTCGTCGTCTTCCCCTCACCTGCATCCTTCCTCCGCGTCTCGCTTTTTCGACTCGTTCGATGTGTCGTGCCATCATACCGTCGCCATATCATCATAGTGTACGTCTTATGCTCATATCATGTTCTACGTGCAATTTTGTAGGCCAACCATGTGAGACCGAGTATGGCTGACGCCCATACGCATTCATTGGAACAGGGGAATTAGCGGGAACGGTTAGAGGGGAACCAGGGGAATTAGCGGGAACCAGGGGGATTAGCGGGAAATTATTTTCCATGATTTTTTTGGGATTATCGGGAAGAGGAATGCGCGGGACAGCTCTGGTAGCACAAGCGGCGGGCCCAAGCTTAGGGTGTTTGTTTCTAATTTGTCGTTGAACATCCCCTTGTAGGGGGACGGGCCCGACTTACGCTTGGTCTGGCCTGTCCCTCTACAAG